TTCCCTGCTCCACCCAAGAAAAGCTCATTTTCCTTATACAGCGTGTTTCTAATGATCTCAATGTTCATTTCATCAAGGTCCTGTTCAGATATGCAATCTTGGAAGAAGGCAGCTGAAAGAGAGCCACAGAGAGTTAGTGTTGCCCTAACCAGGCCCTTGCCCATCACCTTCCAGTGGGAGCAGTACCAGAGCTGCCAGCAGCCCTGGGCAGAAGCAGCCTGTGTGCTGAGCTGGCTTCTCCTCAGCCCAGCCTGTATCTTCAGCAGCCACCAGACTGCCATGACTCCAAACCTCAGGCTCCACTATGGCTTCCCCAGGCCACAGTCATTTTCAGGCTCTCACTTGGAAGTCCTTCTTCACCCCTTAGTCCTACAGCTTGGTTAACAAGTCATTTTTAGCAAAAAAAAAAAAAAAAATCCTCAAGCGGCAGTGCCAGAACAGCCTATGTAGAAGAAGCCAAAACCATTCCCAGATGCAGACATCTGGAGGTGACAACACAGCTTCCGAGCTGCCTGCTACAGCGCAGTAGCGGCACCCAAGCATCCAGCTGCAAGACAGCAGCTAAAAAGTGCTGAGGAAGCTGGCTCTGTGCTTCTCCCTCCTCTTACAACCTCGGTTGGATCAAGAAGACACGGAGAAACCACAGCTCCTACAGCCTGTGATGCTCCACCTGTGAATTCTAGGAGAATTTCCCCCCAGGTAGCTCTGCCTCTCCACTTCTTCCAAAGCTTTTCATTTCTCTAGTTGAAGGTGGAGCTGCAGCAGACAGGATTTACCACTTTATTTTGGTAGGAACCTCATCCCTACACATTTTGCCAGACTATCTTTGAGAAAGACCTTGAGAAATTGTTGCCACCTAAGGAATACAAATGGGTTTCAGTCCTAACAGAGCACCAGCAACATCAGTACTTTTGTGTAAGTAGTTCATCAAGAGGTTGCTGCAAGGTGTGGGCCAATTGATTGCATCCGTACACCTAGCAAGATACAAGGCTATTTCCATTCACATGTTAGTGAGAACACAGTAAAACCCGTTCGTAGAACTTTTCTGACCTTTTCTACTCCCACTCAGCAACTAGTTTTGCTGAATTTGCTATATAGAGAAATGCGATCTTCCTCAGCTTACGTACGCACCAGCTGTGGGAAACGAATGCTCATACCTGGCAGTTGACGCGTGCTCTGCTTGACAGAAAGAGGCAGCCCACAGGTTCACACCGCTGGTGTGCACGAGCTCCCCAAGGCAGCTGCACTGGGGACCCCCAGTCTTGAACAGGCCCGTGGGGGTTTCTTTGCAGGAGCATCAGAGACCAATGCCACGTAGCCAAAGCAAGACGCTCACTACAGCAGGCAGGAGCAAAAATGGAAGGTGCCAGCACTGGCTTTCACTGTAAGACTTGCTGGTTAGTTGAGCAGTGGCTACTTCAGAGTAGCAGAGGAATGAGAACACAGCTATTTCAGTTCCCGGCCCTCCAATATCCCAATTTAGGCTAGCAGTTAGCTCAGCTAACTTAGGAGGGCCATTTGGGCTTAGGCGTTCCTACCAAGCCACGTAGCTACTCAAGTGCTCCTACGAGACAGAGCTGCTGTTTCTATGTGTGCGGTCACTGGAAGGAGCACAAGTTAAACAACGTCAGCTGGCGCACTTGCTTGTTTAGGCAACACAGCTACTCCCCATAGACCCACGCTGAAGAATGCCACGGTAGATGGCACACGGCCTCAAGGGCATGGCCAGGGCAAAGGTCTGGAAGACGAACACAGATTAGCCAGGACAGAAGTTGGCAAAGCTCGCTCTTGTACAAGGGCATGAAGGCAAATGGCAGAAACCCTCAACTTCACCAGCACCAGACAAGTTCTTCAAAATCACAGAATCACAGAATGGTTGAGGCTGGAAGGGACCTCTAGAGATCATCTAGTCCAACCCCCTGCACACGCAGGGTCACCTAGAGCACATGGCACAGGGCTGCATCCAAGCAGGTTTTGAAGATCTCCAGAGAAAGAGACTCCACAAAATCACCTCAAATGTTTTCACTGCATACCCAACCTGAAGATTTAAGGTCTCCAGGGGCTAATACTGTCTTGGAAATACTTGGTTCTGTCTCAATCCCCAAGAAGAAAGGTTCCAGCTTATTTATAAGGATGGTCTTTGCACACATCACCCCTACAATGGGCTCCATTTGGGTTGCATGCAAAGTCTTGGCTCTCCTGCTCTGCTGCCCCATTTAGCAACCTCATCACAGCTTCACTCATGGCTCATGCACAGAGACCTGCTGCAGATGCAACTTAGACCTTCAGTGGTAGCCAGATCTCTTCTGACTTGTTTCCTCACTTTTGTTGGGCTTTACCTGGCGAGTCATTTTTCCACGCCAACTATTTCACTTGCCCCACTGCTAGAGAGGCCACGTGCAAAGAGCGCTTTCAGTTCCAAAAACAATTGTCGCCGTCACAGTACGATGATTTAAAGTGCTTTGTTCTTTCTAGTAACTCCAAAAGAATGATTAATCACTGACTCAGTCACACCTAGTTATTTTTGCCTGAAGATGCTAACCTAGAAGGTCTCCTGTGACCACCTCTCTTGCTACTGCAAAAAGTTTTCTGTATTACTCCAGAACCACTTACCGCACCTTTTATCCTTAAAGAAAACATCTGCCTAACCAGATGCTTGTAAGATAATTATTTTAAAGCATCACGTGCCTCCTGGAAAAGATATGTAGCCCTAAGACAGTGGCTTAGTTGGGGACTCATTAGTGCAATCCTCCAACAGCTTGTGACTCAGTTACACCTCTGCAAAACCAATCTGCCTATGTGTGGGATTCTGGCATACATAGAGCTTTTAGAGTTTATTTTTTTAAGTGCTTTTCTTGGTCTAGAGCTGGTTTTATTAGTCTCGAAACAAGGCTGGGCACATGCAGAGCTCCATAGTTATCCACAAATATTACTTACAAGAAATTGTTCCCAAGTGGACACGCTAGAAGTAACTTAATTCCAGTGGAGGACCTTAGAGCACTTCACTAGGAACATAAATGCTGTGTGTCCCACGAGACTTTTTTTAGAGATCTCATTCTCTAAGATCTCTCTGACTTTCTTCTTCGGCATTAGTTTCAAGTCATGATTCCCAGAAGAGTCAGCAAATCGGCCTGTGTATCAGATCTAGCTACACCTGCATTGCCATGATGGGTCAAGGCTTGGTTCACACAGACCAAATTCTCCAGCAGGGAATTGCCCACTGCCAGTGCACTGGATTTGCCATTTGTTGAAGCCTGTAGAGAGACAGCTGTCCCTGCAGACAAGAAAAATAGACATAGGACAGCCCTAAGTCTGATTCCAAGCTCAGCCACCACAGCGCTCCAGCAGTGCAGCTTGGATCTAGTTAGACCATGCAGGAACATGGACATCTGCTTCACGCTCAGCTAAGAGACAATTTGAAAGGCTCTGCTCACCCAGAGGGGTGTCCACCAGGATTGCATTGTACAGCTCCGCGGGCGTCTGTGCAATATTCACGGCTTCCATCTGCTCAAAGCTCCCCAGAGGATGGCACTTGGGCACCAGCTCAGAAATTGAACGCTGGTGCAGAGTCCCAGTGATCAGCAGAATGACGTTGTCGATCATATAGCTGTACCTGGAGAAGTACAAGAGAAAGCCTGTCACAGATGGGTTAATACCAAAAAAAAAAGAGAAAAAAGCTAGGTGAGCAAAAGGGTGCTTCGTAGGACCACAACAAGAGGGAACCAGAGATTTGTTGATCAGAACAGCATTGGTCTACCTTGTCTACCTATGGAGAAAAGGTCACGTGGCTGCAACCCCGTACTCTTCCAAAGAGCTAGCAGCTTTGGCAGCTGACATGAATTTTACTCACATCCTGATGCAATCACATGCAAGCTTTTTTCACATCTTTACCAGTAAAAAGCAATATGCTTTGGCACTAGGCCAAATTACAAAGTTCCTTACGAAGTTCTCTGCTGACATGATATAGGATTAGCAGTTTTTTACAGTCCTCTGCGCTGCAGTGATGGCTAAAGGGCTTCTCACGAGATTTCAAATCTGCCTGAAGCACCCGTTGCAGAGAGAAAGACAAGAGGCAAAAAGCAGAGCAGAGGAAAAGGACAAGGTAAGGAACTGAACTGCTGACAGAAGTCATGTGTGCATACCATGTTTTCAGTCAACAGAACTGCTGGATACAACTGAGCTCCTGTAAAACCCCTCACCTGCACATCTACAGCATTCAAATATGTTAAATTAATTTTTAAAGAGACTTATTAGCTTTTCTTTAGCAAAAGGAACAAATCTACAGTATTAATTAGCCTACCATGGGAGAGGGTGTTTGGAGCAGATGCAGCATTAGAACAACACCTAAGTGGATAGTGAAGATTAATGCAAGAAATCAGGAAATGGCCCTTGGTGCTTGAGCAATCAAGCCACAGATTTGCCTGAAGACTGCGGATGTGACAGCTGGTAGCCTTGTCCATGTAGATGCAGCAAGATTTCCTGGTGTCACGTAAAAACGAGGACCTGAGAGCAACAGTGTCCCCAACAAGTAGGCACCTTCGGCATGGGCTTAATCACGAGTCAAGTGACAGATCTGGGAACCTGAAAAATATGAAGCAAGATGAGATATTTTTGGCAGAGGAACAGACTTCTGCAAGTGTCCCTCGTTAGCACAGGGAAGGGGAGAGATGCTGAAAGTGCAGGATGTTTGTGGTTTTGCAAGTCTCCCTCGCTCTACAGTCAGACCTAGCGGATTATTTAGCTGGCAGATGGAGAAAAAGGCTTGAAGATGCCTTGACAAGAGCTATTGGAGAGCAGACAGGATCAGGCCTGGCGTTAGGCAGAGCATCAAAGTCCAGTGAGGTCAGGCTGGGCCTCCCATGGCCAAATTCACTCCTTAGTTGCTCAAATGGGTGTTACCTTTTATTCCTCCACATGGTCCAGGTGGGTAAGGCACTTCCTGGCACCATCATTTTTGTGGAGAGCTTTCTGTGTTTGTAACCCACATTTCTAGCAGCATTCAATCTTGAATGATGGCAATCAGGACAAGTTTCGTGGTACCAGGAAACCTCCTTTCCCCCTTTAATCCACAGGGTCATTATCCTTCCTACTGTTTGTGCAGCTCTCACCATGGAGATGGTTGCGGTCTCCAGGACAGCAAGAAGGGCCTGTTTATAAGAAGTGAAGGCAAGTCCTTCGCAGCAAGCAGCTGCTCTTGGTAAACAAAAGCTTCTGCAGCCTCACACAGATTCATTCAGCAGGGTGTGCCAGGACAAGCACACAGGAGATCACTTCTGAGTGCTGCCGTCTGCCCTCAGATGCACATAGTTTTGTTCAGTGACAAGAGCTTCTTAGGAAAGACCATACGTCAACAGGAGTCTTGCCCGAGCGAGGTCACAAAGAAGGAGCAGACCATACTCATTTCTAAGATTTAGTCTACAAAGAAAGGAACGTGGTCATTTCACAGTCTGTTGGCACAGCTCTCTCCTAGTCCCAGCTTAGGATGGATTTTGCAAAGGTGTTCCAGGAGATGTCAATCTGCAAAGAGCCTTTACAAGTCAATCCTCTCAAGAGGAACTGAAATGATACGTGAAGCTGTTCAGAGGTCTTCAGAGAAGCCGAGCTCCTGGCTTGCTGGATGCACTTTGATCTCTTCCTTGCACTTCCAGTCCAGCTCAGCTTGAAAGTTTGGGGACAGCAGACCATGTCTGATCTGCTTTATATCTGGCAAGCTCCTGCTTTCAGATTGCTGCTCCCAGCAAAGATATCCCAGAGGACTTCCACTGCCAGAGTTCAGGGCATGACTCTCCCTATTCCATTTATTCCCCTTAACTCATTTTGGTTTCCTCATCCTCAGAGGACTTCAGGGAACATAGAGGTTACGCACCGAACGCCAAGGCCTCTATCAAGGCCAGCACCAACTTTTGAAAGAGTACTTTACCTAGTGAGACTAGTTAAGACTCATGTCTGCAAGATAAGCAGCTACCATGTGCAAAACAGAGGGATATTCCTCACTGACATTGCCCCTGTGACTGTGCTGCAAGCCTTTATGGCAGGAGAGCTGCAGCATGACTGGGCTCATTCACTCGCTCAAATGCAAACTCTATTTAATTCCAATTAAAAAAAGAAAGAAAGAAAGAAAAAGAAATGAAAAATAGACACACGCATCTTACCAACCACTTCCCTTTCCTGGAGGAGACAGCTATGGCTTAGTTAATTTTTACCAAGAGATTAGTCAATTATGACTACAAGACTGGACTTCCAGTGCCAGGGCAACTAGAAAAGCATCTCCTCACTTTCAGAGAGAGCAATACTTCCTTTTCTTTGCCAGCTCCCCAAAAGAATGCATCTGCCTTCACTGACACTGCTGGACTAAAACCATACCAGAGGTCCTGGCTGTGTTGCCACTTCCTCCCATGCCCAAAGGATGAGGTTTATGTGGATGGCAGCAGTTTTCCCAGATGCATCCAGTCACTTATTTAATATAACAACCTTTGTCATCCTCCTCCTCACCTCCCATTAGATTCTCCATGGCCTCAAATGTTTTCAGCATGCTCTGATTCCTCCTCGAGGAGACCATTACACCCTGCCATGTGTCTGAGCTCCCAAAGCATTTGAACCTTCGCCAGCTCTCCGTGCAGCTAGTAAGGGACCAGACTCTCACAGGAGGAGCTGGTTGGAGGTCTTACTGCAGTACACTTGGCATGGCAAAGAGACCAACACATAAGATAGCTGGGTAGCTCACTGG